ACAATTTAAACAACCGGTCTCTGTCAGGTTAAAACGAAGAACCGTTACTCGAGAAAAGTGATAAATGTCTGGCAAATCCTTGGTTGTATATCAGGTTTTTACTTCCGGTTAACCTCCGAATGAAATATATTTTTGTTTTTTTAAGTCTCTTGAACGCTGAACTTGATGCATATAAATATACATACCATTAAGATTTAGGTGTTTTAAGATATTATTTTAATTTAGGTGTTTTAAGATATTATTTTAATTTAGGTGTTTTAAGATATTATTTTAATTTAGGTGTTTTAAGATATTATTTTAAAGAGGAAGAACATTGTTCATATTTAAAATTCATGTAAAAACTTAGAGTGCAGCCACTAAGGCAACCTACTGACAAACACTTTTGCCAATAGTAGTTATGACTACTAACATTTAATATTTAATAATACGGTTTTTAATCATGAAATTCGGTGTCTATTGTAATAAATTTACTTAATTCTTTGTAATACGTTACTCTGAAAAATGCATTTTCAACCACTACATAGATTTAATTTCCCAATAAGACCAGTAGACCCACAATTTAATTATTGTTTTCTATGATTCAAAAATATATAAATTTAAGCAATAAAAAACAACAAAACGAACGCAACTATAACAGTGAATGTCGCTAAAATTTAAAAACAAAAGCAATATGACTATTTGTCCTTCGTAGCAATAACAATTGTTTGAGTTTTGTTTTCTAAATAATGCCAGTGACACCCTTTCGCCTCAATTCCAAGTAATGTGGTGCTTGGTTACAAATGTTTTTTATACATGTGTGTGTGTGCTAATACGATTATATCTCACACCATGGCCATTCTTAGTAGAAATATATATTCTGTTCTTTAATTCAAACATTATTGCTTACAACACATGGAAATACTGGCAATTCTTATGAACAACATCGGTGTTTAAAACAGTTCCACTCTCTCTATTTTTTATTGAAAGATGAAAATGTTTGTACGATAAAAATATATTTAGTTGTGCGTGACTTAACTCAAAAGAAAATATATTAATAAGGGTAATTCAAAATGAATAAATAAGTTTGGCAGTAACAAAAACGTCTCACCGAAATGTTTATCTTTGCAGGTAACAAGATAAGCCTAACTCCCAAATACTGCTGCCATCGTCTAGGTTGCCCAGACGTTCGCACTAGAACTCGGCTGTTCTACGCTGTAAGACGCAAGCAAATCACGAGTCTTTGTTAGACTCTACTCCCACCTTTCGTCTTTTATACAACTTTAAACTCATTAGGTTTGAAATATTCCAAGTTATTACAATGAATCTCGGTTTCTTTGCAATACCTTAAATTATGTTAAAAAAATATATAGACGTAGTAAGTTGAGTTCTTGTGAGTGTTCAATTCAAAACTAACTTTTGTGTTTCAAACTCGTGGTCTGCTTAGCCAGATTTCTTTCCGTGTGTTGGCATAAGTAGGTGTAGCTGTAAATAGAATATAGACGCTGCTGATTGGTTGGTGCATGTGAATGTTTAATATAGGAGTCAGTACCATTTAATACCCAATTGTATAGCTACATGACGTCATTGATAGTAAAAGGCATCAGTTTGTTCCATGAGCTCAACAGCTAGTATGAACAAATGGGTCTGAAAAGGGATGATGCAGGAGTAAATAAGTTAAACTTGTATGAACAAGCATTGAAATAGGAGTAAATAGGTTAAACTTGTACCGTTCAAGCATAGCGTCTTATGAACAGAGATTACATTCTGAGGCGTTACCTAGAGAGATGATGATAGTGTTACCTAGAGAGATGATGTAATTTGTATTGGACTGTAGAAGACAGTTACCGTTTATTAATTAATATCTCTGCAGCAACGTTGCTATTGTGTTACCTAGAGAGATGAGGTAATTTGTATTGGACTGTAGAAGACAGCTACCGTTCATCATTTCATGTCTTTACAGCAACGTTGCCATGGTGTTACCTATGAAATGATGAACGGTAGCTGTCTTCTACAGTCCAATACAAATTACATCATCTCTCTAGGTAACACTATGACAACGTTGCTGTAGAGACATGAAATGATGAACGGTAGCTGTCTTCAACAGTCCAATACAAATTACATCATCTCTCTAGGTAACACTATGACAACGTTGCTGTAGAGACATGA